CATTCAACTGATTTTTTTTTTTGCTTAAATTTAGCTCAAGGCCGGCTCTGTATATAATGGGAATGGTTTTATTCTCTTTAATGGAAAGCTATTATGTCGACAAAACACTAACTTATTTCTATCTTAATATGGGACGTCATGCGTTTTATTAAACATTCAGAAATATTGTCTAAGTTGTTGAAAGTATGACATATGAGATCCATATACTAATAATCAACGAAAAATTGCACTCCATCCTTTACAAATATAATGATAATGTGAAAACCACAAATCTAGAATATCATTGACTCGGCTGCAGGTAAGGTCCCAAAATAGCGTCTTTTATAAATACCTCATATACAGATATACGTTCAGAGAAAGAGAGTAAAACCACTATACCTCAAAAAGAAGATCTCTACGACAAAAACGTAGTTGCAAAACGATCCATCACGACATATCCATGGAAAGGGAGTTCCAACCTCACTTTTCCTTAAAAAATTATCTCTTCTACCGTGAAAATACCTAAATTACTTGATGAGACCGCGATCCTCAGACGGAGCCTCATACCTCACCCACATTTATCTCTCGATAAATAAGTTATCTTCGGTTGTTGTGACTTAAACGTTAAAGAGTCTTAAAAAAAAACTGTAACTTCTCGAAACCATAATAGGAGGGATCTTCTAAAGGTTAGTCATAGGAGGCAAAAATACATCAGAAATGGGTGAGTTAAAGTAGAAAATAGGGGATGAAAACCCTTTCTAGAGGAGAAACGGAAGTGGGAATCATTTTTAGGTAGAACTAAGGAATGAATGTCACTCCCAAGTGGAAATGAAAAATAACAAATGTGAGTAATTCTTAGTAAAAGGAGGAAAACCACTCCTCGTGGAAATGGAAAAAACATTCTCAACTTGGAAATAGAAATCCAATCCACTATAGTTGTAACACCCTTAAAACATTCTAGAAAAAGATCGGCCGTGCAGTGTCACAATATGATAACAATATAGAGCATCTAGTTTATATAATCTTATATAATATTTTAAGATTTTTCAAAACCAAAACTATGAGAGACTGTTTTGACATTTTTTTCTTTAAATCATTTATTAAAAAGAAAAGAAAAACCATATATCTTTTTATCAACTTTAGCAATTAATTCTAATAATTTAATAGCTAATTCATATGTAAATTAATTCAAATTACAATTAAGTGTTTTGTAAATATTTATGTAATTCTTATATAAATTACTATATTTTAAGGTAAATTTAGTATAGAGAATATATATTTTATTTATCAAATGCAAAAATATCTTATATAATATAGTAAAGTTTTTTTAGTTGAAGTGATGAGAGGCTGCCATGTGTCACC